GGGGGACAAAGGTGCCCTGGCTCCATGCCTGGTCACAGGGCCAAGGAGAAGGACAAACTCCTGTTCGCCTCTCTGGGGACAGCAGGGACCTCCCTTCCACCCCCAGCCAGCACCCACTAAAGATCCAGATCCTCTCTCCCTGTGTTGTTCTTACCACTCTTAAAGATCACAGAAACAAAGGCATTTTTATTTAAAAACAAACTGAGGGGAAAAAACTCCAGCCAACAAAATATACAGCAAGGCCACAGCAGTGTCAACTACACCAGAACTAGTGTTACCTCAGAGCAAACACTCAAGGAAGATTTAGAAGGATACTCTGGAAGAAATGGCATCACTTCTAAACAAACAAGGCACTTTACTTCCATTAAAGCAATTACAAAGTGGCTGGAAAACCAGGAATGTGAAGTCCAACACCTCTTCATTCTGCAAGTCCCAAGTTATTGCCAACAGTGGCTGGCACTTTGACTTTCTCCTAATGCAAAGCATAAAATTCCCTCACTTTCAAAATCTTAAATTATCTCACTTTGGAGATCTTGAAAGATCTGGAATAAGTTGCAGCCATCAGAGCATTATCTGGGAGATGTTGGTGAACAAACTTTCCCTGTGACCATGACCAGGTAGCACCAGGTCACAGGTCAGCACAGCTCACCTGTCAGCCAGGTCATCTACACACCCAGGAAGAACCTAAGACCTTTGGTTCTCCTATCTAAATGCCAATAAAAAGCTCAGAGCACGAGCAGAGCCTCAGCCACAGCCTCTCCTTGGCTGCTGGGGGGGAATTTATCCCAAAATCCCAAGAGCAGGGATACACCAAGGAACACTCCTGGCACTGGATGGTCTTTACAGCCTCATTTTTCTAATGGACCTGTAGCAAAAAGTTAAAATCAAAAGCATTTGTCTTTTCCTCTCATGGAATTCAGCTCCAAATAGAAACCTGGATTTGTATGGGAGGAGGAAAATAGGAGGAGGCAGCAGGATATGTACAAAAGCTGAGCAGCTTCACCTCTAAGAACTGACATCCCTTCACACCAGAGCCTGGAAATCTATTCCCAAATTAACACAGACCTCTGGGGTTTTTTTTATTTTTGCCTCAAACTAGGCTGAGACCTGTTCCAACATCAGAGTTGTCCATCAAACCCTCCCAAGATGCTCTTCCAAAATCAACATTTACAAAACAAACATAACATCTCTGAAAGTTTGGCCATTTGTCCAAGGATCAACACTCAAAGAAGCATCCTCAGGTCAGCAGGAGTTTGCCAGGGAACAGCGAAGTCCTGGCACAGGGACTGCTCCCAGCCCCCAGCCCAGCAGGTGCTCAGAGTGCTCTCCAGTCAATGGGCTTCTTCCCGGATTTCCTCAGGAATTCGTTTGTCTTGGAGAAGTGTCGACAGCCGAAAAATCCTCTGTTGACTGAGAGGGGTGAGGGGTGAACCGTCTGCAGCACGTGGTGGCGTTTCTGGGAAGGGCACAGGGAGCAGCTCGTTAGGTTGGCATGTTTGGGGCTGCTCCTGCACCAAACACATCTGGTTTCCTGCACCAAGCAGGTCTGATTTCCCTTCTCCCCTTCC